ATTCGTACCAGGTTTTTTCAGATCAACTATAAGGACCAATATCGGTCCGGATATATATATTCAGACCGATTTCCTATATATCCGGACCGATATTTCGGTTCGGAAATCCCATTCCTGCAGTAGTGTAAATTACTTCTAAAAGTTCAAAATGTGCGAATCATTCTCTAACACTTTTGAGTTGAATCAACCACCCCAAATCTTTATTCTAAGGAAATTGGTTCAAATTTAATGATTGACATTAACTTTTTATTAGACTTTAAAAATAATAGTTTAACGAAAAAATAATTATATTATTGTCAACTATCAAATTTAAGTCAATTTCTTTAGAATTAAATTTTGAGGTGGTCATTAATTTGGTTCAGTTTTTTTTAGTGTTAACCGGCTTCAACTCAAATTTTAGGGGCAATTTACTCCTTCAGCCCTTCTAATGTTATGTCACTTTTTTTTTTTCCTATTAAAGTTATTGCATACAAAATTACACGACTTGCTATTTTGAAAAGAAAAAAAGATGTGAAGAAATTTGAGGAAGTGAAACATCAAAAGTGAGAAAAACGATTTTACTTTTTATATTTAGAAAGTGATATTCACATATAAAATTTTCTTATAGTCCTAAGTTTTTACTTAGTTGGATTTGCAAATTTGCATTTATTCTGTTGATATCACATGGCTATTGTAAAAGAGGAAAAACGAAAAATTACGTGCATCAACTTCATCTAGGTTATGTGAATAATTGCATTTATTCGCCCTAACCGTTGTCCATATAGTTCGTAATAATGTCAACTCAAGTACTAGTATTTAGAATGACAACACCCCCAAATTCACCCCTCAAATAGGAGGACAAGCATAGATTTGCCTCTCAAAAAATGAAAGGACAAATTGCCTCTCTAAATTATAAATCGAGACAAATCATTCATTTTTTAACATGTGACGTCAAAATTCTATTTGTCACGTAAACATTTTTTAATGTTTGTTTTTTAACGAAAAGCTGACGTCACACATTAAAAAATGGGTGATTTGTTTCAATTTATAATTTGGAGGGGCAATTTGTCCCTCTATTTTTTTGAAGGACAATTTTGTCCCTGCCCCCTATTTAAGGAGTAAATTTGGGGTTTCTGCCATTTAGAATAATATTTTGTAGTGGTGATTTTTTCCTTTTTCAAGCAAAGCGAAAATTAATAGATTTAGGCATGTAAGTGGAGTAGGTAAAAAAATGAGAGAAGATTATTTTTTATTGTGCAATTTAAAACAAAAAAAATAATTCTTATAAAAAAATTAGAATAATATTGTGAAATCATGCCTTGTCCAAAGTAAATTTGTTCAAACAATAATTGAGGAATCTCCACATTAATCAAGTGACATAAATTTACAACAAATTAATAGAGAAAAGAAAAATAAAAAAAAAATTATGAGAGACAACTCCCCTCTCTCCTTGAACCTTGAAATTGAGATTTGGAGGAATCAACCTTGACCCAAAGGGTTGTTAGGTTAATAGCAAAATTTGTTATGAATTGCTTTTATTGGTATCAAAAAAATTCCCCCTTATAAGCGTGAGGTCATGTTGAGAAAACTTAATATAGACCATTGGAATAGTCTCCATTGGTCTAGTAAGGACTTGAGG